TCGAATCGACTGATGATGAAATTATAAATGCTAATTGAACTCAATTTAACTCCCATTAAGGAAAACGGCATTGGACAATTGAAGGATCATCTAACAGATGAGAAGTATATTAATTGGTTGGTAAGTATAATGAGCGTGTTAAAATAACTAAGGGTAATACTTATTTACATGACGAAAAAGTATTTTAGTAGACAAATAAGTATTTGAATAATATGTATAAGGTACATATATTTAGGTACATGCATACAGTTATTCCTTTCTATATTTAAAACATCTAGTAACAAGGCACCGTTATTTCATCCATAGTTAAATTTGACTGTAGTTAATGTCATTTTAAATACATAGTAAATGTGTTAAACTTTGACAAATGATGGTAATTTTTCACTTGTATTTTAACTATAGTCAAATTTAAATATAGATGAAGCAACGCAGCCTTAAATATAAGTATGTTAAATAAAAATAAATGGAAAAAGTACAAGTACCATGTCTTTATCGTCACAATGTGCATCTATCGGTAGATGTTGATCAACGAATTAGGGATGATCACTTGATCAATCAATTATTGGTTAATAATAAATAACTCACTTTATTAATAGTACTACTAAACCTGAATAATTATTTAGGTATATCACTTATGCATTTTCTTGAAAAATCCAAACAAAATAACAATTCATCATAACAAATTTAAAATATTCCTGACGTTTTCAGCTTTGGCTGTCTAAACAAGTGCCTAAATTATAGGCATTTTAAAAATATTTGAACGAAATCGATTAGCAAATATAATATTTGTGTTTGCGTAAATTAGTCATTGGTAGATAAAAATATCCTTGATGATAAAAAGGTTCATACCTACCTGTCCATACATAACTATTGAATCCACCATATTATTAAGTCATCTGGGTGTGTTATGTTGACTAAATAGCGTTTGATCTTTATCAGCTTAGTGTGATAGCAGTAGTAAGTTTTTTATCAGTGAGTCAGATGTCAGTTATAATTTCATCATCAGTCGATTCGATCAATTAAACGTTTGGAATACTCACCAATACTTTCCTTAATTAATTGCCTTAGAAATGTCATTTAAATTTAATGCTCGTCAAAAATATTATTTTCCTTATTCTACTATGCTATCACTAAAAAATAATGTTATCAACTTGAATCAAAGTTTAAGTTAACCGACATCTGAGATGCGAGTTCAACGCTTTCCGGTTGATTTTAAACGCATATTATAGTACCGCAATAATAAACAAAATATGAATTTTTACAAGTAATGTTCTATTATATGGCCAATATATTCTATTTATGGTTAATATTAAACAAAACGTACCTATATAAATGTCTCATAACTGTACTCCAAGTCCAAAATTTTCAATTAGCTGCTCCTTGTATAAAAACAAATACCATAACTATTTTTTTTAAAAAAATCAGTATTATTATTCTTTCTACTTTAGACACTTATTATTATGATAACGTGTATTATAAATTGAATTTCTATGGAAGATGACTTCATACTCTTAATATTGAGGTCATTCTGTAATTTGATGATTCTGTATGAAATAAAACAGTCAGTTAAAAAATAGCCCTCGCTGAATTTCTTGCAGATTCTTCTTGAAGCAAGGTCTCACCCCAGCAGACTGAATAAGTAGATTTCAATAAAGTTATTGAAATCTACTTATTCAGTCTGCCTCATCTCAGATGTCAGTAGATCCATTAACTAATAAGTGTTTAGTTAATGGATCTATTGAGAATGATCGATTTTTTCAGGCTAGAGTTCCTAAGAATGAGTGTAATGTTTCATTTTGGTCATTTACTTTCATACTATATATTATTCATGTTAAATATATGAAATAATACATATATTATTTCGCAAAAGCATGTTTTACACTTCGTTTTTTGGCTAAGATAGGAAAAGAAAAAAAACAATTACAGTTGTATGGATTTATTGATGCACCAGTATATATATGATACGTTTTTAAAAAAGAATATAAATATTAATTGCTAAGTAAAGAAAAAACAAAACCTACTGACTTGGGACAGTTTAAGTGCATGTTTTCACGCATTTGTGTATATTAGATAGAGATTCATATCTCTATAATCAGATTAACTATAGCATGTCACATTCCAATGAAAATAGTAGCAAAAAAGTATGCATGTTGCGTTTTATTTCTGTTGTGGGATCTTTCTAATCATTGGTTCCGGCGACTTCAGTTCTATTCGTACCGCGATCGCGAGCGATTGTGTGAATTGAACGCTTTGCAGTGCGAGCTTAATGAAAAGTTTTTACGAATTCTAAATATTAATCGTGAAAAGCTTCTGTGTAATCATGTTGGTGTCCTTTTCAATTTAAATTGTGTCGTGATATGGATGCGTTCATGTGTATCTTCTGTTCTTTGAACTGAATAATAATACCTACTTTTAAGGAAAAGAAAAATGTCTAGAGTAAAACAATGAATAGTAGATATTTTAATATTGTGTCATATTTTAAATATTTCATTTGATAGAATACGATTAAGACTTCCAAAATTGCGCGATGTGATGTTATTTATCGAGTTGAAATATTATTTATATATGCAATTGTCGCGATTCTATTTGTTTACGTCGAATAAGTGTGGAAATAATATTCTTACGCTGTCTTGACCTAAGCAAAAAAAATTGTTTCACGTCAATGTTAGATTGCACTAATCGGCGCAAACGTTAAACCAGTGATGAACACATTGCACCTATTTATTTGCATAACAGTTTTGCGAGCGGATCGACGACGCGACTTTTTGCAAAGTCAAGCCCTGAAAATAATGTGCAAACGTTTTGTGTCTCAAACGTTCCTAGACAGTCCTTTTTAAAGGACTTAATTTAAAAGATTTTTAATCAGAAAATTTATTATCGTATCGGTATAAAAAATCGTGGAAGGATAGGTATTTCCTGGATAAATAAACTAGACAAATTAATTGATCTTGATGAAATTGGCTCACTGCGTGTGGTCCACCTAAAATATAGGACAGTTTTTATCTCAATTATTACTTTATTGATCCCCTGAATAGGGTATGAAAGCTTTTGTAGTCTACGGGCGAAGTCGCAGGCAGGAAGCTAGTCTATATCTATAACATGTTTAAAAAGGGAAATCACTCTTTCCATTGAGATACATACATAACCTGAGAACAATTTCATCCATCTCTTCAAATAGAGAAATAAATAAATATGCATAATAAAGTTGCAAAGAAAATTATAAAATTTAAGAAAACTTAACTTTCGTATAGTACAACTACGAACTGTACTTGATGAAGGTACATATTTCTATTATGGATAATACTTTTCATGATTATTTGACGACACATTCGAAGTTGGTACATTTTTCCACTGTGACAAGGTTTATAAAAATCGACGAATTCATTTTTTTTTCATAAATGATTAAAAATCTTTGCTCGCTATTGTATGTTTATAAGATAAACCTATCTCTTACAAGATTTACTGCCGACAAGCTTCATTATGTAGTAAGTACATATTAGCACTCCTAAGACTTCAAAACAAACTGCCGACACCTTATAATCAGTGAAGAAACTTTTCTGTATGGATTCGCAACCATCGCAATGGAAAATGTCAAGTCAAAAGAATAAGGGACACTAAAATTTCCCACTTCAGCAAAGTTTAGTTTTTTTTTGTTCTAATACTTCAGATTTCCCTGCATACTATTTCTTTCAGAAAAAGTTTTCTTTTTCAATTTTTCAATGCAATATTTAATTTAGCATAACCAGTTACTTTCTTACTTTACTTCGATTATAAATTACCTTATACGAAATACTTAGTTTGATATAATACAACATTGATTGACGCAGTTTAATACTAAATATTCAGGGCACGTTACACACCATAATGCCTGCATTTCCGCTGGCTTATGCCATGTTAGGCCATCGACAAATTAGTCCACTTAGATAATAGCCTATGAATAATCATTAAGCATTTTAAACCAAATAAGTGTTTACCTATATAGAGATCCTCCATTCATTGGCTTAATGTAACCCGATCGTTGTGGAGAATTCATATAATGTGACGTACATATTTTTTGCAAATAACGTGCGTGATCTTACTATATAAGTTGCGTTGCGTGTTTTTATGGGTCTGTCAAAGAAACAACCTTATCGAAATGATCTCGAAAGAAACGCATGCGATTTTCCTACAATCAACATGAAATATTAATCATGTGCAATCTGCTCATAGGTACTGCAGAATGTGAGATGCAATAATTTAGATGTGTTCTTATTCATGACAAAAATTAAAAACAAAAAAAAACACGATTGTAAACAACTTATCTTAGAAAGACGTTACAGAAAAAAAAACCGCGCTTCATGTTATATTTGCCTGTGTTGCGAAAAAATTGGTTGAACCACAAATGTTCTTGACGTTGAACTAAAACACCTCGGTAGGTTTTTTCTAGAATTGAATATTTAGTTAAAGTACATAAACTCTATTGCGTTTTTCATGGTGATAATTCCATTGGATTGAATAAGCCGAAGCATAATTTATGGGGCGCAGCCGCGCTGCATCTGGTGGTAAGCACGTGAACACAAGCCTGTGTTTGGTCAGTGGTGCGAGAAGGCCAAGGTCCATCAGTTAACTTGCCTTTTGCCACCAATACTTCTTATTACGGTCACAAAGTACAACCTTTATTGCACAGTCATCGACGAAGTTACTAGCACGTAAAATCACGAACTTCTTGCTATGATTTATTTTTCCTATAGAAAATAATTTTCATTTATTCAGCTTAGAACATAACGTTGCGTGCAACACATGATGCATTTTTAATAATTGCAACTCTTCGTTGCATGAAGTTCGTTGTTGTGTTCCATATTTAAAATGAATAGTGTTGTGCCAGTGATAACTGATCGTCATGGTCGATTATTTGAAGAAGTTTCGTTTCACGGCTTTGGAAAAAGTATGTGAAATCGATAAGTTTGCGTAATATTTGGTGAGATGTACCAAGTTTCGCGGTATGTGACCGCTAGCGTACGATGGTGAAGCTGATGATGCAATCAGGCCCATCGGAGAGGCCGGTGCCGCCACCCCGGTTCAAGAAGCTGGCGCGACTTGCAGCAGCCAAGGAACGCCGGTGTGTGACATGGGTATGGACCCGGCTATGAGAATTATGATTTACTTACAAAAAAAATACGTCTTATGTTATGTTTATTGGGTTTTATGTTATAATGGGAAAAAGAAATACAAACAAATCTACTATCCTCAAATACTTTTCTATACTAAGAAAAAGACACTGCGGAGGTAATTTATATTATGTTTCATATATGTAACTTTTAGGTACGATAAGCAAAATTATACTTAGGAGTTTCAGTAATCAAGTGAGATTTTATAAAAGAATGTGGTACACATATTAAAGTTTCTCAGGTAAGAATATGTCTTTCAAAATACACGATTGAGAACCCGATGACATGACATTCGGATAAAAGCGGATGAGCAGACAATCGCACAACGCTCAGAGAACATTGTGCGAAATCACATTCAACTCAGCCGGTGAATAGAATCGCGATGTACCTATGCTGCGTGGGAACATTTAACGTTCCTGATCATGCAGGTAGTTGTTGAGAAAAACATTTAAAATCAGTAAACCTAGGTAACAACAATGCGAATATTTTCGCACATTGTCGTACAGTTAGGTTCTAAAGCTGCCTGCTTTCTGTTATATGTATAGCGTAAACTGCATAATGCTTTAATTAAATTTTTGTTATAACTGTGCCTCTTTTTATTTCTTTTGATTAAAATGTGGTAACTAGGTAACATTAACTGGATTATTTTTTGTGTTATAAAAATGTATGTTTGTTTTTGTTTGATCTTTTTAACTGATCTGTGTTGACTATCCGCAAATCGACGGTTATAGAATCTCTTAGAATCCTGAAAAGAAAATATTATTATCTTTTTCATATTTAAAACACTATTTAAGCGCGACACAGACCAAATTTGAGATTAAAGTCATTTAGAACGAAAAGATGCTTTACCAGTTTGATATTGAGAAGAGCGAGCGATTGATCGCTTTTTAAATTTATTTTGGCGAGTTTTGCGTATTGATGTGCATTTTTTTAGGAATGTGACAAGTACTTAGTAACATATTGAAAACACATAGGTTTTAATGAAACCTGCATTTTAAGCTAAACCTGTTTTAATGAGTGATGTGCGTGAAAACCTAAGATACAAATAAACCTGTTTTTTCTATATTTCCAGGGCCCAGAGACATGGGTGGGGGTCCGAGCACTGCGCGCCAGCTCTGGCGGCATATTGGACCCGGACGACCGCGTGCGAGACGTCGCCGATGACCGGGAGACTTTGACGGCCGAGTGTAGTGGGCAAGCGCCGCAGCCGCGGGCGGCCCAGGCTGATGGGGCCAGCGGCTCTTCCGCCGGCACCGCCTCTCCTGACATGTTTCGGGTAAGTCCATAGTATACTCTCAAACAAACTTTTTTGTTCCAAAATATTTTTTTAAGAAGTTTTTTTTATGTAAATGTATACTGAATCTATACAGCCTACTTTTTATTATAATTGTTTTCTTATCTTATGCAAGAAAATGGATGTAATGCCGGCTATTGGTCATTTTGACAGCAGGTTGTCCTTATCATGCTCTATGGGGAAAGAGAAGGAGATACTGTTATCAAGTTTACAAATAGCAAATAATTATGAATATCCGTGTGAAGTGCTGGCATAACGCATTTAAAGGATTTAAATGTTTTTTGGAATATTTGGCACCAATATATTATTCCCTTTGCCTTCCCTAAAAAGGCAGAATCTTAAAAAAAATACATAACGCGGGAGCGCGATTTCTGAAAAGTTACAAAACGTATTCGTCACTCTAAAGTTTAAATCCTGTTAGAACTTGTTCAGTTTTTCGTGACCTGAAAATCTTTATCTGGATAATAGTTCAAACGTATCGAGACATGTTATCTAGATCTGCCGAATGCTGTGCAAGTGTTAAAACATGTGAAACAAGTTTACTCAGCAGTTGTATGTGTCGTTTAAATATGGGCTCGTGTTTTTCAAATTGTTTTTCTGTAAATAATCCGTGGGAGGTGAGTTTTATTGACTGAAGTAAACATGCTACAACACTTCTGTGATAAATAATCAATTTACACGATTTCTATATCTCTGTAAGATTTCCATTTTTTTAAATCTTAATGGCTTAATCATTTATTTAGTAATTATTATTCGCTACTATCGAAACTTACTCACCTACCTTATTTGTATGATTCTTCTTAAAAAATCTCATTTTACTTTCTGAAATAAAAGTATTCAACAATATCAAAATAAAGGCTAAGTAACATTCAATACCTACTAATTTATGATGAAATTAGTAAAAAAACCTATAATGAAGTAGAATAAGGCATGGTATCCCATTTGATTAGATTTTATGTGATATGGAAGTGAATATACATAATTATATAGATTGATGCTTAGAATAATTACACCGGTGTAATTATTCTAAGGATTGATGTAAGTAATCATGATCGAAAGTTAAGTTTACTGCTTACCTATTTAAGAATTTTATACACTTTTATTTAAAAACAATGTTCACCAGCTACTTGGTTGTTCAGTGCGGGCTAATGATTTATACTTTAAATAATATAATATCTACCTCTTACTCGTTATTTATTAACACATGGCCCGCCTGTTAACGCAGCTATCATGAGCGTTAGGTATTCGTAGATAACGAGAACTAGGCTAACAGGATTACAGACCTCGCGGGCACTCGACCGTACGAGCAGACATATTTTATATTAACTAGACGCTCTGCAAAAAAATATTTCTTTCCTTTTTTCCTTACGCATAAAGTCTAAAGTCGCGATGTATTTTTTTGGTTCACGTTCCCGTGTCATGGTAAATGTGAAAACTGAATATTCAACACCTGTTAGGTTTCTAAGATTCTATAGCAATACTGGGGGAGTGTATGGGTATCTAAACAGAAATTAATTTCTCTGAAATTTAAGGTATAATGATGTTTATTTTAAAAAAAGAGACTACAATCAAAGGCGTAGTATTATTGTCAGTATTTAGTTTGCTATGAGGATTTAGTGTGGCGGAAGTTAAGCAACTTTCATAATGGCCAGTCATTGGATAGATAGATAGATTTTATCTACAGTCCTTAGCGGATTGATTGGTGGGTACCATTCAATCCGCACGGGGCCCGCGTAGTGGGTCATGGATGGCGCATTCTCCGTATTCCATCTATAGGGAAGGCCTGCCCCTAGAAGTGGGGACATTAATAGGCTGATGGTGGTGATGTGTTCTATATAATTGCTGTCACTTTGTGCCAGAATCAGAGACCCAGTGGTCTTCGTTTGGGCTTGTTCTGCATTTTAATACAAACTTATTGCATTTCAGGGTGGCGGCGGCGTTGGTGGAAGCATGCGCGTGGCCAACACGGATTCCTGCGTGGAAGTAGGCGAGGCTGACCTTGAAGACGGCGCCAACGGCCTGCAGGTCCGCAGGGGCAGCGAACCGACACTGCATCAGGACTCTCTACCTCAACAGATATCGGTGAATATCGCCATTATTGATACTCGAAGGAAAAGATTTCGTATAACTTTATAAATGTGTGATATATTGCTTATTAAAGTTTTGTTATGAAGAAGGAGGAGAAGAAATGGTTAGAATCCCGACCCTACCTTTCAAACTGACAACGCGCTGAGCATAAAATTTTATTTATGCTACTTATCTTTTGCCCGCGGGTTGGCTCACGTTGATTTGATTTTAAGTGAATGAATGCGATCTTGGTACTCCATACAAAGTTTGACCCCCGTTTTACACCTTTAGGAGGTGAGATTTGGAAAATTAATTCTTAGCACACGCCTCTATATGATAATAGATATATGTATGCACAATTTCCATTCAGTCGTTTTAGAGCTGGGCGTTGATAGATCAGTCAGTAACGTTTGCGTTTTATATATAATATAGATATAGTCACACAAAGAAAATTTTATTAAAAGAAAATAGGCGGACCAGGTAGCAGATTGGACTCGAACCACTACTCTTCGCTATCCGGGCGAATGCACTGATCACTATGCTACCGCGACCCTGATAGCCGTGTTCAATTTTCTGTAGTGTTTCTTAAGCTTCAAGACAAGCCATCTCTTCGCATTGTAGGTAGCATAATGGTCAGTGCATTCGCTCGGATAGCGAAGGGTGCGGGATGCGTGTGGAATTGTTTTTATTAAAATTTAGCATCTAGCAGTTAAATGCTTAAAATATGACCATAGTCACATAGTTATATTTTTGGATTTCTTAAGCATTGGACTACTAGATATTTTAATCTGAAGAAAATTTTACTAGAAGAAATTTTGGCCCCATGGAGTGTTTTCTAGTAAAATTTTCTTTAGATTTAAACATAGTTCCATAGTTTTAGTGATGTTGTATTCTCTAACATTAATCAAATATTTGTTTCCAGGCAACCGAGCAAACTAAACGGTGGTCGGCAGCGGTGGTATGCCGCGAGGACAGCAACCGCGTCACGCAGAAAGTCCACCCACTACCGGACGGCCGGCCGCCCGACCCGGACCGGCTATCCGGCCAGCACTTCCAGAGGCACTCCAACCGGCTGTCCATGCAATTCTCTGGTCCCGGGTACGTACCACGCTAGAACTTGATCGTGAGGACAGCAGCCGCGTCACGCAGAAAGTCCACCAACTACAGGACGGCCGACCGCCTGACCCGAGCCGGCTTTCCGGCCAGCACTTCCAGAGGCACTCCAATCGGCTGTCCATGCAATTCTCTGGTCCCGGGTACGTACCACACTAGAATTTGAAAAGTTTTCTTCAATTACATCCAGGGTGTGAATCGCCTAACGGAATTGGCTATCGCTATAGCTTTTTTTTACATAGGTCCGACAAATGACTCCACCCAACCTGATGTTAAGTGAAGGTGAAGTCCAGACGCGAAGAGAGCTGATACAGCAGTTCTTTATTTCATTTCATGGAATCACACTACCTACCCCTTCGCATTAATCTAAACAAAAATATTTGGATTTATTTCCAAATTTAATATCTAACTGTAAAGCAAACAGATTCTGGTGTCTTATGCGTTTATTACATTTTATTTGTTACTAGCATTCGCACGCGACTACGTCGGCGTTTTAGTTAGTTTTCTGAGAATCCCACAGGTACCTAACATATTTCTGGGATAAAATGTACCCTATGTGTTAATCTAGGTAATAAACTATTTACTTATGTACCAAATTTTAAAATCCGTTTTACCGTTTTAGCGTGAAAGAGTAACAAACATCCACACAAACTTTTACATAGTAGGATTGAATCTGGGATGTGACAGATTGCTGTCATGATCGAGTGCTCCTAAAATAGATAAAATAGATGTAAACTTCGAGTACTCTAAGTCGTTAAATAAAAACTATGTAAGCTAGAACAGATAATCAAGGCTGAACGACGATTAGCGCTGGATTTTCATCTTCGTCTTTATGTTTAAACAGGAGTGGGGTTTGGCTAGACGCAGCAGAAAGGATACAAAGTTACGGTAGCAAAAGTCTTCCCCGGGACGCTCGGAGGGAGCCTTTGGGCCAAGATACACCTCCCAGCGATCATCAAAACCACAGGTAATTTCTAAAATTTTAAAGATCTTAATTACCTTCATCTTTAGCAGCAGCATAAGAGAGGTACTACCTTTTGGTGGTATTGTGTTTCGGTGGAAGATTCTAGGGCTCCACGGGGTAGGGATTGGGCCGGGGAGGTTACTTGTTGTTGGCCCCCGTTTCCGCAAGTAGACTCCATAGTTGGTTCATTGTGCTTGCATGGTTGATTGGGATAGCTAGCACAGCCAGCCTAGCTCTTTCAAGAAGCGCAGTAGTCTCCTGGGACTCTCACAGGCTTTTAGGAGCGTCCTCGGCGTCAATAGGATTGATGTCCGGTGTTCTGCCACGCTCATGCGTTCCAGGATCACATGAGCGGCCGTTTCATCTGCTTTCAGACATCCTCTGCACAGAGAACTATCTGTAACACGCATGGTTAGTAAATGGTTATTTAGCAGGCAATGCCCTGTTATAGTGCCCAGCATTACTCGGAGATCAATTCGGTTAAGATTTAGTCATTTTCTAGTTAGTCTTGGGTTGAGGCCGGGGAGATTACAGTGCGAGTGATATTTTTGGTATCGCAAGCGTCTATTGGCTATGGTGGCCGCTTACCATCAGCGGGCTATAAGCTTGTTTGCCATCCCTATAACATAAAAAAATAAAAACCCTAAATTAAACCCTCTTTTAGCTCACACTGCTGGGGCACAAGACAAGTCTTCCGTTTAGATAGATGGAATACTGATTTGGATTTTGGGAAGCTAATATTAGATTCAACGAAAACAATGGCTTAACGTGCCTTCTGAAGCACGATGGAGCTCGAGATAGATGTTTCTGGTCACCTAACCAATGACCGCCCATTGCATGAGGTGCTTTACTTCCACGATTGCAGACCAAACTATCGATTTCTTGTTTTAGTGAAATCGAGATATAACTGATCGATTTCACATACCGTATCATATAATAACGGCTATATCAGCAACATCTTGATGTGTGGCTAACCACAACCTCGCGATTTTGTCGACAATTTTTACCACGTACGGCAAAACTGTCTTATAGAAAACATTCAAAGAAAGAACGAAACCTTTCCTTAAAGTTCAGCATCGATTTTTTGATACTCCTGGTGTTGCAGGTGTCTATGGGCGACCGTGAGTACTTACCATCAGGAGAATTGTCAGCTCGTATGCCTTCTATATATATATATATATATAGTATATATATATATATAGTAGCCCGATCACTTTGATCACACAAAAATAAAAATATACCGTAGTCAAACCGTAGTACACGCTTAAATTAGTAACAAGTTTCTACCACTTTTATAATATTTTTTTAATTTGTTTAAGGGTTGAGGATATGCTCCGATGGGTGTCTGGTGTGAATAACGTCGAAGGCGTGCATCCTGTGCAGGAACGTCCACTTGATCTCTTACCCGAGGGTATGTATGGTGACCTTTTAGACAGATTTAAAATAGCTTATTAATAAAAATCAATGTAATGCTTCATTGATGAATCTCTGTTTCTTCTTTAAATATTTTTTGACGATAATTTCTGTTAGAGGTAGCGGCAAACTTCTTGGGCAAATACAGACAGACGTACTTGCGCGGTGGACTTTTCAGACAGATTTAAAATAGCTAATTGCTATTTCTAAAATCAAAGTAATGGTACATTGATTAATCTCTGTTCTCTCAAAATTTTTGTCCTGTTAGAGGTGGCGGCAAACTTAGAGAGCAAAAACGGACAACTTTGCGCGATAGACGACTTTGTTTTTGTAAAGTAAAATTGCTACTTCGTAATTAAATAAAATAATAAATAAATAAATATTTCCAACACTCACACCAATTAGCCTAGCCCCAAATTAAGCACTTAGGCTTGTGTTATGGGATACTAGGGTAACGGATAGAATACATATACTGTACATATTTAAGCATATTTATATAGAAATACACATTAAACATCCATGAATAGAGTACAAATGCTCGTATTCATCACACAAACATCAGCCCCCACTGGCATTCGAACCCGGGACCTCTCGAGTCGGCGACACCATGAAACCCGGCGTACAAACCACTCGGTCACGGAGGTCGTCAATCGTAGGCTTTGTTGTCCATAATTTATGCTCAAGGTATTTGCCGACATATCGAAACTGGCAAAATGGATCAAGTACGCAGCGAAGGAACGTAATAGACGATTCATTTTCATTTTATTACAAATATTAACTTGATCCATACACAATTTTGATATGATATTTAGCACGAATTTGATTTTGAATTTAACGGGATTTCATACTTATTTTCATTCAACAGTGGGCCGCAGTGAACGCGCTATATCCGGGCTAGAAGTTCCGGTCAGCCCCAGCAGTAAGCCTTCAACGGGCGCGACGCAAAATATATCCGTCACCCTCGTGAAGGGTGAGAAGGGACTCGGCTTCACCATCACTACCAGGGACAACCCCACGGGGGGACACTGTCCTATATACATCAAAACCATATTACCTAAAGTAAGTGTAGATGATAGAAAAATATCAGAAACTAGCAAACCAGTGAACCAAATGTTCACCAAAAAAAATATAAAAAATGTATTTAATTAATTGAGAACTTCGGAGATTTTGTGTGGTTTCGTTTGAAATAGAAATCACGTGATTTCTCGAAAACCGGAAGTGCTACGTTACTCAAATCCGGTTTGTAGTCTTATCAGACTATTCTTAACTTATAACTTAAACATTCTCTTTATCTATCTCTTACGGTTTGGCCGCTGAAACAGCACCACGGACGGACGGACGGACTTGTCTATTAGATAAGAGATACCTAAGATAAATTGATAAGTTAGTGCTAGCAGTGCCTTCAATGTATTAAAACCATATTACCCAAGGTTTTTATAGGAAGACGGTAGAGAGTGATAAGATTGGTATTAATTTAGTGTGAGTCGCTGTATCCGGTTTACTTCTTCCATTTATGAAATGTCTGGGTGGAAAGAGATTTACAATAAACGAGGAGATCATATTACCGTAATTAAAGCATGTTTTGCACATTTCGACTTTTTGGATGGCTTTTGATATGTTAGAGTATCGATGGATTAAGTATGTCCGGTAGTTAGCACCCACCAATCGTCTTGGCCCAATCTCCCTATTCCATCCATAGGGATGGTCTGTGCCATTAATAGGCTGACGATGATGACTTATATTTGGTTGCGGAGAGCTCCGTCTATTCTCTATGGCATTTGACAAGTATTTTTGTTTCAGGGTGCAGCAGTAAGCGATGGACGGCTAAGGGCTGGAGATCGTTTAGTATCAGTGAACTCAGTAAATGTATCCGGTCTCACTCAACAGCAAGTTGTGAGCTTACTGCGTGCAACTCCCACCGATTCCAGCGTAGAACTGGTGGTGCAACGACCAGCCACTAGGCCGCAGGTAAAAGGCACAAAATATAAAGTAGCCAGAACCATTTCAGGGCGTGGCAGTAAGCGATGGCGACTAAGGGGTGGAGATGACTTAGTATCAGTGAACTCAGTGAATATATTCGGTCTTAAGCAGCAGCAAGTTGTAACTTTATTGCGTGCAATTACTCACACCGATTCCAACGTAGAACCGGTGGTGCAACGCCCAGCCACTAGGCCGCCGGTATGAAACATTTATAAGCACAATTAAGTGACGGACGGCTAATCGCTTAGTATCAGTGAACTCAGTAAACGTATCCGGTCTCAAGCAGCAGCAGCAAGTTATAACTTTATTGCGTGCAACTCCCATCGATTCCAATGTAGAACTGGTGGTGCAACGCCCAGCCACTAGGCCGCAGGTATGAAACATTTATAAGCACAATTAAGTGACGGACGGCTAATCGCTTAGTATCAGTGAACTTGGTAAACGTATCCGGTCTCATTCAACAGCAAGTTGTGAGCTGCGCGCAACTTCCACCAATTCACGCGCAGAACTGTACCCTTAGCATGAACCAATATCGAATTCGAATAGTTTGCGAGTGCGAAATGTCATTGTCAAATTTTGTATGGAAACTTGCAAAAACGACGTAACGAGAACTAAAAATCGGTTTTACGTATAAAATAGATCCAATTCCCCTATTCGAATTCGATAATGGTTCGTGCTAAGGGTACTGGTGATGCAACGCCCAGCCACTAGGCCGCAGGTAAAAATCACAAAATATAAAGTAGCCGTAGTCAGAAGGATAATCAGAAAGCGACCGAAAGCTGGTCGCTTTCCTTTTTGAATCAAGCGAAAATGAGTTCTGTCGACCCATGTTAATGTGTGATTGATAAATCGGAATGCGTCCACCGGTCATTTTAGAATCGATTTTTTTTACTTCCCTTGCTTCAAAAATACCTTACCAGCGGGCTTTCTGCTTAACACCGCGCAATATATTAATTTAATTTTAATTTGGACTAGTTACATTTAAAACTCATTTTATTATTTGTCGTACCTACGCAATAACGAGGTTAAGATCTTTTATATGAATATATAGTACATATAATATGCGTTTATAAGTTAAGTTAGTTCCGCAGTCATTACAATCCAAATCCGCAGTCATGTCCAAAATGATTTTAAGTTACGCCGAGTTGAAATTCTTTCTGGTAATTTTTTTCATGAAAAAAAAATTTTTTTACACGAAAATCTCATTCGCAGAGGGTAGAACCACAACAAAGTCCAGTGAAATACGCGGAGAAAGCAATCGGCTCCCCACCGTCGACGGAAACTATACCCGAAAACGGCCGAGTGTCTAGTATAGTCAACGCGTTAAACCAGAACAGTGCCAATAGTTCCATTAGAGGAAGGATACCTAAAAGCTCATCCAAAGACAACTTAATAAAGGAGCATAGCACAGACAATGGCGTGCAGGAAACGTTGAACTCTTCAAATAATTCTGTAAGTATTGTTTCTGATTGAGAAATATTTTTAATGAGTGTTGGTATAATTTTTTTCCCAACACACACCAATTAGCCTAGCCCCAAAGTAAGCACTGTAAGGCTTGTATTATGGGATACTAGGGTAACAGATAGAATACATATACTGTACATATATAAGTATATTATATAGAAATACATATTAAAACATCCATGACTGAAGTACAAATGCTCGTATTCATCACACAAACATCTCGGCCACGGAGGTCGATATCTATATGACATAGTTATTACAGCACTTCATTATTATTCGTACAGCAATCTTCTATCACTTCTTCTAATCTTCTCTCTTATAACGGACAGTTTTAATAATCATCTTCCAGTAAATGATAAGGATAATCTGGTTCCTTTACTTATCCACAGTGTTTTTATAGCCTTACCAATAAAGTTCATATTATAGCCATTATAGCCTTACCAATAAAAATATCTTGGCAACTAAGTTCTAATCGTACCTTTTACTGGAGATTGGTGAAACCGTCCGTAAAAAAGTTTTACCTATGTCATCAATATGTACATCCGATTAGTCATATTCTAATAACAAAAGCCTTTCCGTACTTAATTTGTAAGAAATATTAATTAATTATTTTTTTTATTTTTAATCAGGTGTTAGGTCTCAGGAATAGGCTAATACTTCGACTAGACGTGCCAGTACATGATTCAGAAAAGGCAGGCCTGGGTATTAGCGTGAAGGGCAAAGTCACTGTAGGCCCTGATCCTCAAGACTTGGGTATCTTCATCAAATCGGTGTTAAATGGCGGCGCAGCTTCGAGAGATGGACGGTAAGTGCTTACTCACAAAAATCTTTGATCATATATTTACGGCCATACCCGGAGATGTCATTTGACTTTTAAGTTTGATTAATTCCTGTTAATTCCTCTCCTATTACAATAGAGTACACACAGTAGACTTTTAAATGGCATTAAATTTATTTGACTCCTTTGGGTACGGCCGTTAATGGTCTATGATTTGACTTACTATTGATTTGAATAGGGCACTGAGCTGGGCACTTTTTTGCTAAACCAGTAATATAAATACAAGTAATTAACTTATTGTTGAGTTGTGCTATAAATGAATAAGTCAATAGAAAATGCTAAAGAACTAGCCTGAACTTCAGAGTCACCGATAAAATTAAATCATAATATTTTCTTTTAAGCATTAAACTGCTTGATTCATAAATTCAAAGCAAATACTAGAAAATCCAATCGGTATAAGTGTTAGTCAGGACACGAATCTGCTCCTTTCGCTATCAATGAAGTTTTGTAAAATTTCCTTTTAGATTTATCATAATATTATAAAATTTTCAACAGGTTACACACAAACGATCAGTTGCTTAGTGTGAACGGCGTTTCTTTAGTCGGCCAATCGAATGCAGAAGCAATGGAGACATTACGGCGAGCTTTATTGCACGCGAGACCTCATGTACACGGCAGTATATCACTAACTATAGCGAGGAGAAACGGTGAGAATTTAAACTTATTATTTTTAATTTATTTATTTAGCACACAAAATAGATTACAATGTTTGAGAATGATATTAATTTAAGACGCTTAATAGAAAACAGTCAGTGAGAACAAAGATACAAATGAAATAATGAATTCTGGGTAACTCATAACAATTTACTCAAGTACGATAGCGTATTTTGTCAGATCTAAGGAATTTTATTATTTCCTCGGAACCAGTTCAATAGTTCGTTAAGCCACTAAAAATAGACGTAGTGAGTTAAATAGATGATTTTTAGAAATTACCAATTTGCCGTGTCACAGAAAGGTAAAATATTTTCTAAACGCCTTCCTCTCCTAAATATGTAAAGAACAAAAGGAATAAAAATTCTAAATGTCAACAAAAAAGTTAGGGTTTCAATGTATAAGTAAATGTCATACAATATGAAACTTAACATGGCATAAAAGAGTGCCTAAATTTGTTTGTGTTACAATCCTAAGATTTTCATGTCTCTATCCAAACAGCGAGTATGGACAGTCTAGCGCGGTGGAAAGACGACACTCCGCCCAACGGTAACGACACAAGCAACTCCAACGACAACTTCAACACCGTCATATACAACGCTCATCCGGACAAAGAAAACTCCACAGATTTCAAAGAAGGCTTCGACAACCACGACGGGCGAGGCAGCAAGAAACATGCCTCAATTGTAACAATAAACAATAACAATAGCTGGGTTTCCAACCAATCGGACGACAGTAAAGGATACTTAGAAAGAGACAAAGAAATTCCTCACGATAATAAGCGTGATAGCTTTGAATGGAGCCGGTTAGACGGCTGGAATCCTGTGATAGACAGACTGACGGGTCTGAGGAACGAAAGCTACTATATGGCTACGGGACAGGACGCGCCAGTGACGAACGGACACCATTACAGACAGAATCTCCACGTGCACATGTCTAGATCGCCCCCGGCGCACCATAACGTTATCATTGAGGAAGATTATGTCACCACTACCAGGTAACTTCATCATCATCATCATCAGCCTATTAATAGTCCCCACTGCTGGGGCCTTCACTATGGATGGAATAGGGAGTTTGGGCCATGACCCACCACGCGGGCCCAGTGTGGATTGGCGGGTGCTAACTTTAAATGCAGCCGGGACCAACGGCTTAACGTGCCTTCCGAAGCACTCGAGATAGAAGATTTTTGGTCACCCATCCAATGACCGACCACTGCGAAAGTTGTTAAACTTCAACGATTGCAGCCGAACGCGCTAACCACCTGCGCCATCGAGCTCCTCCAGGTAACTTACTAACAATTATACCGGTACAGTTCGATTCTAAAAATTAACTTACACCTCTAAAGTGGCTAAGGATTCAGTAAACTTTTGCAAATAAAAATTCTCCTGTCCATACCAAATTCGGCCGTATTTTTTTTTTACGTTAACTTAGAATTCTTGAATGAATTACAGCTTTTTTACTATTTAACTTAGAAGTTAAATTTTTACATTGCGCTAAGGGAAGATCTCGCCATCACACCAAGCTTATTGGAAGCTGGCGAGATCCTTCAAGTCAGAGGTCGAGGTCCTCTATGCCTCCTCTGATCAAACCTGAGATATCGATCGCGTTCTACGACGACGAAGGCCAAAGGCCTGGGGGCCAATCGCCTAACGGGATTGCTATGGCTATCGCTATCGCTTACGATTTCACTTTGTAATTTCTGACCACCGAAGATTTTCAAATGCGCGTTCTTTTTTTTCTTTTGTAATGGTAACAACAATATTGAAGAAAATTTGTGTAAGATATTTGAAACCTTCGGCGGTCAGAAATAACAAAATGAAAACGTAAGCTATAGCGATCTTGACAGACAGACAGATAAACTGCCGTATCTTTTTAATTAGTTAACTTAGGAGTTGGTTTAAATTTCAACTCAATGCCTCCATGCGTTGCCGAAATAAAGGGTCGTGACAGACAGATAGACGGACAACAAAGTGATCCTTTAAGGGTTCCGTTCCAGGCCAAACCGTAAGAGATAGATAAAGAGAATGTTTGAGTTATAAGTTAAGAATAGTCTGATAAGACTACAAACCGGATTTGAGTAACGTAGCACTTCCGGTTTTCGAGAAATCACGTGATTTCTATTTCAAACGGAACCACACAAAATCTCCGAAGTTCTCAATTAATTGAATATATATATTTTTTTTGGTGAACATTTGGTTCACTGGTTTGCTAGTTATTTCATAATGTGACTAAGACATCTCATTTATTAAATTATAATTTCAATTTAGATTAATATAAGTATTCAATTAACATTGTTGGAATTTTGTAATTAATAGTAAACTAAATAAAATAAATAACATTGCATGTCAGCAGGACAGAATATAGCTGAACTAAATATAATTTGTATGTTTGTACACAACAATAACCTGTATAACCAAATGATTTGAATCTTGAATTTGAAAGCACAATAACTTTCTATTAGGGGTAGTGTAAGCGGCGGCGGTGGGGGCGAATCAGGCAGCGAATGCGGGACCGGGTTCAGTCGAGACGCCGTCGGCCGCCGCTCCATGTCGGAGAAACGACACGCCGCGCTAGACGCTAAAACCACCGGCACCTACAAGAAGATCAAGGAGATCAAAGCCATCAACTGTGAGTATTTCACGACCAGGTGGAGTAGGATTTCATCTTTTAGTGAAAAAATTAACTACCAAATTCGCCGGCCGGTAATTTTCTGCTCAGTAGACCTATTCTCTAACTTTTTTGTCATTCACAGATATTATAAAAAAATAGTGGCGTTATAATAAAGTAGTAGTGGATCAGTAAATTGCTCCGTGATTATCACTATCATCGAGAATAAGCCTATAGGTAGGAAGTAGTTACGCTGCCACCTCTTCTTATTGTATCTGGTTGAGACAGAAATTATAAAGACAAGATTTGCAAAAAGTTGACGTGATATAAAGCTATAAACTGTGGGTTTTACGCTGTCAACTGTGGAAGCTTATCCATTTTCTTATTTTTCTTGGAATATCGTCTGTAGTCCCCTGATCCCTGAAGAGATGATTAAAAAATATATCTCTATTTTATACAACATTTTAAATCAAAGCAATGTTAACCGTGTCGTGTCAAAGGAATATAATATTCTTACGTTATTTAATTTTAAACCAATGGACGGTTTTACCTCTAGGGTCTGGTCTGAATATAAAGTCAAATCGAGATGGTGGTCTAAACTATTGTGTATAGACATGCATGCTTTAATTTTAACTGCAACTTTGTGGCAATAATGTTATATTGTCTTAGTTTCATAGAATGTTGTATGTATAATGGCATTATTTCTTCTATAGCCCTTCAAGTCGGACCTGCGTTAGGAATGAGAAAATCTTCGAGTCTGGAATCCCTTCAAACAGCTATTCAAGAAAACCAAAGGCATCCGCGCAACGAACCAATCTATGCGCGTGCGCACCCACGTGAGTAATATTAGATTTTTAAAGTTTTTTTAAGATACTGTTTTATGTTTTGCATTATAAAATAACATATACAATTTGGTCAAAAATACATGAAGGCTAATAATTGTGTCGCAGGTGAACACTTGACGGTAGACCTACGTAAATGTATAATTTGTAGAACCTTAAAATGGGTTAAGATATTTAATACGTTAGGGGCCATTCAAGTATTACGTAAGCAGATGTATTACAATTATTTACCCCTCGTCCTACAGCTGGTACCTACAATTTTTTTTAATTCATCCCCGCACCCCCGAAAATGCGTTTTGTTTTCAAGATAGATAATGTCCGGGTTGCCATTTGTGTAAAAAAATAAATAACTATTGCTGACGTAATCACCATCTAGACCCCCCCCCCCCCCTGTAGTGCTTACGTAATACTTGAACGGCCCCTTACCTACAGATTTTTTGCTTTACGACGTTTGTCTGCTTTCTATTTAATATTTTATGGATAAGAAACTTGGCACTGTTATCGTAGAATATTACATTACATGTAAATGTCTGATTGTTAAATAGAAGATACTTGTGCAAATGCTTTTTTTGTGATTCGAAATTAATATAAAGTATTTTTTTGCAGCGCTTAAACATTGGCTAACTGATGACAATGGCCCTGAGGGTATAGTGCGAGGCTCTCCACAACAGTCCTCGCTGTCACATAAGAAGCCATCTTTACTCAAATCTCTCTCCACTATGTTCAGGTAAAAATATTTTGTATAGCACATATTTAAATGATCCTCGAAAACATACATTTGGTAACCTAACCTACCCTTTAGATTACCTCAAGGTTAGATTAGGTTTTACCAATGGCTTTTTAGGTCATCATTATATTTTGAGGATTATTTAAATATTTCTCATTTATATTAGACATTTTATAGCTATTGGATAGTGATGAGAATAGATAATGTAAATGATGTTTAACCTATTCTTTATCCTAGAATTGGTAAGCCCCATAAGAAACCGGAATCTGAAGTATACGGCCGATCGCAGCCCGGGCGGTCTTCGGAGAAATCTTTATCGCGGGAAGCAATCGAGAGGCACAATCGGGAGGAAAGGACTGACGAAAATACCCCGGCTAATCAAAGGTAATTTTAAAAACCATTTTCAATGGAAATTTGAAAATAACTCAGTGTTACACTATTATAAGGCCGTAAATAAATAAATAAAATAGGCTTGATGTGAGTGGGACTCGTAAACGAAGGAATCGCGTACCACAGTATAATATTTTTAACAAGATTTAGCAAGTTTTTTTTTATTTCATTTAAGCGGCCTCAGCATTCTGTGAATGATAGATTTGATCCTATGAGAAGGATCAAAGTTAAGGTATTACTGACAACTACTATTGATTGGTTTATCACAAGCCTTGTGGATTTCGGTTGACCTCAAAGAAAGCTTACAGCCATATTCCTTCCATAAATCGCTTTGATTGTTCGCTAATAAGAAAAAATACATATGGCACTCGTGGACTGCCGCGGTAAAGCTATTGCATAGCATTTTTATCAACTTATGCAATTATAATTATTTATTTTTTTTACTTACGCATTTTTTTTCTTTTATTGAATAAATGAGAAGTTAATATTGTTAAAAATAATTTTATTATCTTACAATACATGTAGGCTATTCAGGATTTTTTATCATTGAAACTATAGGTTTATTCTAACTGAAATAAGAAACATAAGTTTGAGACTTGATAACCTCTAAATATCTGGAAAATACCGCGTCAATGATGGTCCCTTATTTTGTTGTGGATTCTTGTGGATCATTATTCATTTTCAAATTCAATTTTTCCGAAAGAAAAGTTGTCAACCGCTCAGATTTTTTATCAGCGACGTTAATGTTGAAATCGCTAGCGTTAAAGTTAAACTAGTCGCGGGCTCGAACTCACTCGTGGAAAATAACACAAAAATGGATATTATTATGATTTATTATTATTATGTCATTGGATGTTTTACTACTAATTATTTAACTACATTTCTTACTATTATAGGCTAGAAGCGCAACATTCCCGCCAGAGCAGCAGCGAGCGTCGATCGGATAGAAGGAACGCCGCACCGCCGTACAGATCACCTCCCGTTCGCACTGCGCCTGCGCAACAGGTACATACATTGATGATTATATAATACAATTCAGTTACTGACATAAAGGCTAGGCTAACAGGTTTTTATAATTAACGCGTGATCTGTGTAAGCAAAATGGCCGTTAAAACCATCTGTTATATTTCGAGTTCTACTGAACTTATTGTATTCATTTAAGTCTTAAATCAATTATAAATACTTTCTGCATCTAATTGCATTTCTCTATTCTATATCTAAATATTGTATTTTATAAGTGCGTGGCAGAAATCCGTCACTTCCACAGACAGGGGTTTTCTGACGTTAGCAAAAATAATCAATTTCTCTATTCTATGTCTAAATATTGTATTTTAATAGTGCGTGGCAGAAATCCGTCACTTCCACAGACAGGGGTTTTCTGACGTTAGCAAAAATAATCCAACACAGACCACGGGTTAAATCTTTACAACATTAAATATGTAGTGTTATTCAATTGCATCAATATGGTAGTTTGCACTTTTTGACGCGAAAAGTGTGATTTCTTGTAAGTATGTCACGAATTAGTTCAACGCTTCGCGGTGTGAGTGAGGAGAGGTCGAGGAGTTCCTTCGGCTCCCCCTGATCCCCTGACCCCCGTCCCTCTCTCGAAGAGTACCTCACCGAGAAGAGCATCTGAGAGTTACAGTGGCGTGCTTGGGCTCAAACGAATCGGAACAAAAAGTCCCACAAAACTGTCCCGAGGGTAATAGCGAACGAAACATTATCACGTAAAATTATCATCCGTAAACCGACTTTACTGACAACCAATTTTTAAATAAATCTAGTAGTAGTAGTAGTAGTCGGTCGTACGTATAAAGCTCCTCCCGTATAAAGCACTGCGCCTGCGCAACAGATACATACAATATTTTTGAAATGAAGTTCCTTGTTGGACGATACGGATTTGGCAGATTGACGCTAGTCGAAAAAAAGAAGATCTGTCCGTCACATCCGTCAGTTGTTTCGTAGCGTATTGTGTGTAGTTGTGTACTTATTCTTATTTTAAATTCGTTCCAACCGAATGCTCCACGACTTCTCATTCGTCACATACGTTTCGTCTTTTTATATTTAAATATCGATTTGCAATCTTTGTAATAAGTTTGTGTGATCCCATCTCATCATTCGCCAGCCTTCTTACAATTATTTGTCTTAATTTAATTAGGGTCGTCGTAATTTTTTTTAAACACACACCATTTATCCAATTGCCCAAAGTATTGCCTTGCTCCAAAGTAGGCACTGTAGGCTTGTGGTATGGGATAGTAGGGTAACGGATAGAATATATATACTGCTACATATATAAGTATATTTATCTAGAAATACATATTAAATATCCATGACTGGAGTACAAATGCTCGTATTCATCACACAAACATTTGCCCTAGTGGTGGGTCGTTCTCAATTTTTTTGACGTTTTCTCTTTAACGAAAACTAGTCCTCGAAACGGTTCTCGTGCGCAACTGGTTTTGGTTGCGGCTGGGTGACGCAACGAAACGACACGCGACGTGACGGTCGATCGAATGCAAAGTAACGAAACTAAACCAAACAAAATCTTGTCAACGTTCGTTTCGACGAGTGAAATATTGCTAATTTGCAATGCCAACTTGCGGTTCTAAATAAATTTTATTATTTTGTTTCCATTTGTTGCTACTCAAACTTTCACTCTATTTTAATGACGATAAGGTCATACATAAGCGGCACAGTCGCGCTACCGCCACTAGCACCACCGTGCTGCGAACGAGACGACGAAACATCAAAATAAAAGTAGTTTTATACGATAATCGACTTTAACTGTTCAATAATAAAGATTATCTTATTGTAAAATTAAAGCTTAATTGTCATAGAACGAAACGGTCTCATATCATTGCGTTCTATTATAGTCTGTATTGACTTCATCATTAAGTACAAATTAGCGTGTAGACAATCCGAGGACTAGTTTTTCGACGAAGACTGTTTTGATCCGAAATGTAAAACGGTTCTATCGTCGCGGAACACAAAAAAACGGTCCTTGAAACCAGTTCGTCTCTAGAACGCTCACTACTAATCTACCCCCTCCGGGATTCGAACCCAAGACCTCTCGAGTAGGCGACACCTTGAAACCCGGCGTCGTCGTCGTCGATATGTTTTACTCTTCAAATCTTTTCAATCAGATGCCATTTCCTGACTTATTACAATACACTCCTATATGAATCATTTAACATCTTGCAATCTACTATATTTTTTTATTGTCTTCGTTTCTTTATACTCCGCTCAATATAAACACATTATTAGGAAATGGTTTTTTATTCTATGACGCAAATAAGTATCGGCGACGATGGTCTTCATGACGTCAGTCTGATAAAAACATTTGGTTAACATAAATAATATTTAACCTATTCCTAGGACATTTGTACCATCCATGTGGAATTTGTGGAAGGCCTGGACTGGTACACAGTGTCTAGTGTTCTGGATTAGAATTCGCGTTATTCTTGTGCATGTATTTGTCATTTTCCTGACAATATTTACTTATAAACGTGTAAGCCTATAAAACTAAAATAAAGACACAGAATTGTCTGACATAAGTAAGCATGTTAATAGGATTTCTCTTTAACAGGCAATGGACAGTGCGTGGGGACCCACAGGCCACTACGTAAATTATGACGAAATCCAACAAAACCTCAAGTAAGTCCATGAAGTATTATCTCAACGACTTATTGATAAATAATGTTATTATAAAATACCACGACAAATATTTAAATTGTGAAATGTTACAATATGACGTAAAAAAATCCTTTTACAATACTTTACTTAGCCAATTTTCCTAAGCGTAATTATAGGGCCCATAGGTTCCATTTAGTTTGATTATATGTTTCAGTGTGTTTACATAAATTAAAAGCATATCATAAGATATACGTGCTTCTTCACTGACCTAATGTAAATAGCTAATATTCGTATGTAGGTATTTCTATAGGCACAAAATACTTACTACCCACTTTTGCATTTCTTCTTTAGCGTAAGAAGACAGAAGTTGAGCGAGGTACAGATCGGTCAGATGAGGAGACAGGTGCACGCACAAAGAGCTAAAGCTGAAGAAGAGAGGTGAATATAAACATTATTACCAATTAAATATCAAAATATTGCTATTTATATTGTCAAAAAAAAACAACTGCCTCGGGCAACCAGGCTAGATCAGAATTTTCCTTATCGAATCGGTTACTGAAGAAACTTGAAAGAAGTTGAATTCTTTAAGGAAGTTAAGACTTTTTATTAATTTTCTATGTGATAAGCGATCTTATTACCGCTTATCTTTAAGAAGTTGAATACTGAAACATTTCATAATTTAAATGTTAGTTGAGGTATTTTTACAGTAGATGTAGGATGTACTTGATTCTAATGAATGTTCCTTTTCTAGCCTGGTTATTCGAGAGAGCTGACTCTTTTAAGTTTTTTTTTATATAATAAATCGCATAAAATATACAATTTTAATAAACGTATTTATCAAAAATAATTTCTTGTCACATACAATGGATGTTAATTTTTAAAACAGGTTTTATTTTAAAAAATACACACTAAGGCCGATATATTTGGTGTTGGTATTGTAAACCGGAATCGGAATATAGAGAATGTATGTATGAACGCGTTATTAATTGTCTGAACAATAACTTTAAAGTTTAAAAATAAGCCATAAACAATGAAGTAACTTCTCTTTAAGTTTTATGTGTATTTGATTGATTGTAATCATAAAGTTAGCAACATTAATTCTTAAAGTATATCGTATATTTAAATACAAAGAAAAAAATACTAGGAAAATCTTCCACTGATGGGGATTTTTTCTTGAGAATTCTCCTTAGATTTAAACAACTAGCATTTAAGTGCTTAAAGAATATGAATATAAGATACCTGATACAAATAAGGTCTATGCTGAAATAAGGCCTGTAGTGCAGAAAAGTCTATTAAAATATGTTTACATCAAAAACACTTTACACACGCAAGGATGACATTTCTACAACTCGGCAAACTGGTACGAGCAGTCAGCTCGAGCTCATAGCGTCAGTAGTGGCGGTACTTTGTGAAGGACGAGCTCTTCATAGCGCGTTATTAATTTTTCGTAATCTTTAACGAATTTTAAAACGTTATTCTTTAAAGTTTTGTTTCATTTAATGTATACGGATCACAATATAATTAATCAAAAAGTTGTCAATGATTTAAAATTTAACTTATTAGAATATGCGAATTAAATTCTACTTATAACTTTTAAGAAGTGTAATGAACTAAATAAAGCCTAATTTTATAAAAGGCCTTATTTTTATCAAATATATCTATCAATATATATTCATTTTCTAATATTTAATAATATTTACGAGAAGATATGTTAATTTGCTAATTTTTGTTTGTATGGATATGATTTTTTTATATATTATTCTTTATCTTTTGTTAATATGCGACTTCAAATCTGACTTGCAATTTAACATCATTGTTATACCAATTTAAGCAAAATATTTAGTAAAATAAATTAGAACGTTGTTAAGGATCCCATGGAAACACTTGATTAAAGGCTCATAAATACATATTTTATATAATTTATACTCCAATAACAATATTCCTATAATTTAAGTACATAGGCTTTGTTAAGTCGCTATGCTTTTAAAAGGCCTAAATCTAAGAATCTAATTCCAGAATTAGCTGTTTTTAAGTGATTTCTGATAATAGATTGTAATATTTTTTCTTAATTACTAAAAATTTATGAACCAAAGAATAATGCCTTGCTTTTATTTATCACCTTCTTCGGATAATTTATCATGATATGAGTGTTTGAAATTAGGTAGGCCTTATTTGTATCACTTACCTTAATAATGTTTTGTATATTTTTAAACTTAAAAGTTAGCGTTAGTGTTTGCTCGAATAGAAAGATAGTCATTTATCTACGACGCCTGAGAATTTTATTGAAAATTGAAACTTGCAGACATAATTATCCTCTTGTTAAATTATAATTCTAATGTTACGCCGTGCGCCTTCGCCAACATTGTGATTATGAACAAGTATTAAACACGCGCAGTAAATTTGCATAGTGTCACTCGCTGTTATTGCCTGACTTTAGGTAATAGTTTGTAAAACCACCCCGTTACTACCTTCAATCATAGGCGTATTTTAAAGAACTCTTAAGTTGGCTGCCCCATATTTTTGCTTTGTACACATAATTTGTTTGACCATAGACAAACGCCCCCTACGTTTAATGACTTATTAACACAACAACTGATCATTCCTTTTTCATTTTAAAGGTATACCCAGGTAAAAAGTGACACCTCAAACATTTGCCATTGGAACGTTTTCTTGGAATGGGAACTCGTCTTATAACGACAAGGACAAATTACTTCTTGGAAATTCTATTAATAGTTTAACTTTATATTACGCGGTCAAAGATCAGACACTAATTGTAAAGAACGAAACATTAACGTGCTAAGTGTTTACGCCTGGTTCTATTTAGTTACCTACATTAAAGTTTTTAAAAATATGTATTTATAAGTATACCTACTCAAAGAAGCAGACAATCACTTAAACATCATAAATTTTGTATGAATAGCTGTAAGCAAATAGCTGAATTGGACAATATTCAAATAAATAAATAAAATTAAAAAAAAAACTTGGACGTGAAAATCGCTTGCACTCGTTCTTGATAGTTTTTAAAAATAATTTATTAATATTGCATTAGAGCTCAAGTGAGAATCGCCAAAATGTGATTTAAAAAACAACTTATAGTCAAAGTTCCGTTGACTATAGGTATCAAACTTCTCGGTTTCCTTGCTCGTTAAAATGGCAACACGACACCATAAATTACGTCCTATTTATCTATTAAGCGCTAGTCGTTTTTTCACGATGAAAAACGTGCCGTCATTAACCAACGCCGGGGAAACACTACACTAGTGATTAGTGGTTAGTGTCGCGACTCGCGCCGCAATCATTCGTTATTAACTTTAACCGTTGTTTGTTTCTCCGGCCCTCTTGGACCGATGGTAAGATGCGTGTGCTTTGTAATGTCCCATTTCCGCTACGCTTGTTAGTTATTGGCTAATTAGGTCACGTGAGACGTATCAGCGACTTTAGCCTTAGTACGACCACCGCAACATGATAATTTTTAATAAAGAGATTTGTCGATGCCTCTATAACAATAAACGATAATTAAGCTCTTGTCCCCGTAGCCAAAGCGAGCACCACGATATACATTATATCACGTTTTTTACCGTGTCTCACTGTCAAATTATAATAATTTACCAATTGAGCGTGATCAAAACTAGGGGGCTAATGCTAGGGGGGCTGGAGTTAGTAGCTAGTCGATAACTTTTGTTTCTATTCTAGTATCGGGTATGCTAAAACAGAGTCAGCCAGCGGCAAGAGACGAGACGAGGCGGTAGAGGTCTTTTTAATTTTATCTTAAAAGACAGAGACAACTATTTGTATCTTGGGTATTCAACCACACCTCTCATTAAATAAAACAAGTTATAGATTCACTGATTTATTTGTTAAAACGTTTCGCATACTTTTGCAACATAGGCGCGAAAATAAGTCTACAGTGAGTGAACATGCATTAGGGGGATCAAACCGTTACATTAGATTTGATAAACCGCAGATCCTTGCAACTGAACAACGATTCATTCCTAGAATGATACGCGAAGCTATTGAGATTAAGAAACATCCAAATTTCAATAAGGAAGATGGTTGGTATATACCACCAGCTTGGGAACCCATTATACAACAGATAAAATCTCAACCCCGAACATACGCTGCAAGACCAACAGATAATACAGATATATAGTTCTTTTTGTTTGCATGATTTAACATAAGAAGGAGACGGAAAGCCTCTTTCAGTTTGTTCACAGAAAGATCTCCAAATTTTGGAAATGGTGGTAGTTTACAGTAGTTAGGGTCAAATAAATAAATTAACTCAAAATTATAAAAAAAAGTACTTTATTAATTAAATTTGCTAATAAATCATACTTGGACAGTAAAGTTTTAAAAATCTTCCAATGTAGTATCCAAACGCTCAAGAAAAGTCTTTCGAAAGTGAAACGTCATATACATATAAATCAGTGCATGTATTTCTATACCGTTGAAACTTGTTTTATCAGAGACATAACTATTCCCAATTGGCAGAATTTCGTGAGCTCGTTTCTCTGCCAAGTTAAATAATATTTGAATTTATTAGTTAGAGCAGAAACTTACTTATTGAGATTGAGCAATTTCGTTTAGATATTAATTGATATTTTTTACAGATTTCGATTAATCTTTGTGTTGTGGTGGTCTTGGTACAGGGAGTCTAAGTTGCGACTAGTGATTATAGTAGTTAACCTAGGTATCGAAAGTTGGGCTGCCATCTCCTAAAATATAAAAGCTGAATTAGGCCGGTAAGTTTACAGAGAGTTACCAGCCGAGCAGTGGAACACATAGCGCAAAGAGCATAATAGATTCCGGAAAAGCATAATTTTTGACCCGACTGAATAAAAGCTAAAAAGTCCCCCTAAATCTGGACAGATGGCAGATGGCAACTCTAACTGCGAGCCGTTTGTTGGTCGCCTGACTGGCCACGTTTGCTGCACGTACCCTTATTTTTTCACTTTGTTCAAGATGTAATCTTATCATAGCTGTTTAAGGAGTATTTTTCTTAACTATCTGGAAGCTAGCCTTTGGGTAGCCGCATTATTTTTAGATATAAGTTTCTACAGAATGTGGTATTTTCTTCTTGGTTTCTTATTATTAGGTAGGTATTTAAGCGCAATGAAGTTAACAAACATTACACATATATCGATATACATATTTGTGTTAACATATAATAGTTTTCATATTGCTAAGGGGTTATTAGATATCCTAAATCTACACAAACCATAACTCTTAATTCTAACTTGGTCATTATTAGCTACACGCAGAATTGATCCTATAATTTTGAGAATTATAAAGAACATTCGGCTTATATGTGATTTCAACTACATTATGTGCATTGTAATCGCATTGTAGCAATCAATGTTATTTCCAACAAAAAACTCGTTTAATCTAACAGGTCATAAATAGTAGTTATATTAACAAGGCCTAAATTGTAAATATAACTACTATTTATGATCTGTTATTACATGTAGGTAAATGAATTTATTTTTTCAAATTGTCTCTACAGTGTATAATGTTATGTTTCCATAATAACCGCAAAAACACGAAATTGCTTTTTAGAGTAATGTGCAGTTAGACGTTCTAAATTAGTCTCATTATCATCATACTTCTTACATAAGTAGTTTTGACGAAATTGTGTAATAGGTATAACTTATGAGTTTAACTAATAAAAATAATAGAATCACAATTATATTAAGTTAAAATCATTCCATAATTTGTTTAATAAAGTATGTAGTTTGATCACGGTCCTGAAAAGCTGGTTACTTAAAATCATGTTTACTGAAAGATTTTTACTTTGTAATATTACGTATTTGAAGAAACACTATTACAGGGGCATAGCGTAGCTTTGAATGTTATAATTTGGTTTAGCTAAGTGCAAAGATCATTATAATATCAAACCTTCCGAATTTCATATCTAATTTATAAATAATACATGTGAAGTGGCTTACTTTGGCTCTGTCTGGGAGGTAAGACAGAAATTACGTTTTAATGTTTGAATAACAACATTCACCGTTGAAGACTTGTCAGTCATGGCGCTAAATTTTAAGATTATTAAGGCTTGTAATAAAATTAACTCCCAGGTTTCCAAAGTAACCCGCTTCTAAAGTACATATTAATGAGTTAAACGCGTGCAATCATAAAAGTAATTTTTATTTTAAGCGTGAATTGCACCAACTTAATTTTACGTCCTCGTCAACGTCACGTTATATCAGTAAAAGTCATAGTAAAAATTAACTCTTTAACTAGCCCTGTGGTGCCACTCACACTAAGTTGATGCTATATTTTTCTTTGCGATAACAATCTACTGTGACAAGACGTAACTTATCATCATCATCAGGCTATCAATGTCTCCACTGCTGGGGCACAGGCCTTCCCTATGGATGGAATAGGGAGATTAGGCCATGACCCACCACGCGGGCCCAGTGCGGATTGGTGGGTGCTAATGACTGCCGATGCAGCCGGTACCAACGGCTTAACGTGCCTTCCTAAGCACGGAGGAGCTCGAGATAGTAAATTTTTGGTCACCCATCCAATGACCGACCACTGCGAAATTTGCTTAACTTCAACGATCGCAGCCGAACGCGCTAACCACTTGCGCCATCGAGCTCCTCCAGACGTAACTTAACGAAGCAATAAATATATTTGACCTTTTTTAATAAGGGTCATGGTCATGGTCATAAAATGCGTCACCTAATTACTTGATTTATTTACCCCTTCCCCGTCCTTGTCACAGTTGGTCACATTTGTGAGTCCCCCCCTCCCTAGTGTGACGTCACATTGCTATTTTAAATTGAGAAATTATTATTAATACAGCAGTTCCGAAATAAGTTCCGAAAATTAGCCAAAAACACAAATGAAACCCCATACAGATAGAGATCTACATATTCAAAGATTTTTGATAATAGTTTAAAAGTAGGTATTAGATTTTCAGATGTGACGTCACGGAACTTAGGACCCCTCCCACCCCTTGTCATACAATGTCACACTTCGTCGACCCCCTCCCTCCCCCTTAACGTGTGACGTATTTTATGGATGGTCCTTAAGGCTGTTATACTCATTTATTAACGTTTGTTGCAGTCGTCGGGTAGGCGGCGCATCGGGTGGCTACCACTCACAGCGCTCATGTAGGGAGACCAGGCCGCAGTCCAATTATTATGAATACGACACCGGCCCACCCCGGCGATCAGGCAAACTATCGCACTATCACTGAACGAACAAACAAGTACTACACAAAGGTATTTGAACTGAATTCATAGAGCTCTCTTACAACCTGGGACCCTTTAAAAGAGGCGTGAAGAAGCACCATGCAGGCCGGCAGGGTGAGGATGTCAGGCGTGGCAGGTAGAATTGCTGTATCAGCTATCTTCGCGTCTGGACTTCACCTTCACTTAACATCAGGTGGAGTGAAGTCGTTTGTCCGACCTATCTATATATATAAAAAAAATCTTTTTGTCTAAAGAACAATGTTGAGATTGCCATATAGAACAGAAGTCAACAGAGAGAATGTAGCAAAACAGCGGAATTTTCCCATGGTTAGTATAAGTACCATGGAGTGTGTCGAAAAAACTTTTGGTGAATCACCAAGATAAATAGTGAGAAAATCTAAGAATTGATTGGAAAAATCAATAATTTCTGAACAATACAGATTAAAAATGCATTGAAAAAAGCAGGAAGAAACGCCGTGATAAGGTAAATAACGAAGCAATTACAATTCGACGATAGTATTCCAGTTTAAGAACAGTGAAATTGTTTCTCCACTGAATTGAAATTTTGAACTAGATGCTATCTAAAAGTAGCAACTGTATTAACATATTTTAATTGCGACAGTGATTTGATTTTTAATGTTATAATATTTTTTGGTAGAACTCGATGATATAATAATATGTTATAATTTGACCGTGTTGTTCAAAAACAATCCATCTCACAAACTGGCTAAACTGACCAAAACGAACTGTAATGTCTTATTAATAAGACGCATAAAAATTGAAAACTAGATTTTGCAAACCTATGATTAAATGAGGCTAAAATATATATATAAAAAAACATATTTTTCTTAAGAGAATGATTTCAATTTATGGTTTTGTGGGTTGAACAGTTTCTGATTAACACGGTCTAGTTACGCTATGCATTACAAAATCACAATACGTTTACACCTCGAAGAACTTGTTTTACCAAAGGTTTTCCTTGATGATAAGCAGGTACTGTGTGTAAACACTGTCACTCTGATTTCAAACTGTCAAAGTTAACATATTTTTCTTTATCTTACGGTGGTGCCATCGTGTCTAGATCACTTAGATTAGCTCTCACCTAGATTATATCTAATCTATCATCTGATAATTCCTATTCGATCTGTTTGTTTTTTCTAATAGAACTTGTACCACGTGTCAGCAGTGATAATTTATTACATTAATTATTATAGAATGTGTATGTGTTATTGCAACTATTGAATGCAGGCTATTTTGTATTATTTGTATTTCAAATGTTGATTGTGCACAAGAATACAAATAACTACTCATCTTCGAGTTAAAAATTTTGGAAGAAAGATATTTTAATAAAGATTTTTTTATAGCCATTACAGCTTAGTAGTTTTTAAGTAGCCAAAAGAACCATAAGTAAAATAAAAAGAATTAGAGCCATGTTTCAACGGAAAATGGTACAAGGAAATGAAGAAGTATTTTCTTAGTATTTCTTCTAAATTAAAAGAAATACAACGATTATTTTTGTGCACTAACAACGTTCAATTTCTTTTTGTATTTGTGTAAACATTACTAGAGTACATCATAAATAAGTTAATTATGCAATGGAGCTTTAAAGAATAGATTTTATATAAATTTATAGCGAAATCATGTCTTCGGCACTAATTATGTTGTGTGACTGAGTAATTTATTTATCATAAGGAAAAGTTGTCTGAAAGTCGATGTTAGAAAAACTTTATAATACTTACTTATTTTGTTTGAACGAAATGATTGATCTTCTATGTTTTTTTATTGTTATTGCACATGTTGACATGTGAAACGATAACATGTTGATTTGATATGTAGCTTTTTACTTTATTCAAGTTTATCGAGTACAGTTAACAACTACTGTAAAATGATGTCTTGTCACAACAACTCAACGGCTCTTTTTCGTAGGAGTTTAAAGTAAATCAATAAATATTAGAAAAATAAGTAGTAAATAGTTTTCCTAAAAATCCCCTTAGCATATCATAAATAAATTGATTTGTTTGGATCAGGCAAAAAATAATATAAAGTATTCGATACTATAATCTTAATATAATTATGGAAAGCACCGTGTATTATGTAAATCTATTGTCTTTACTGTTCTATGTTCCATTATAACTGATCACCGCATTTGCGAAATAAAGAAAAACCTAACTGAATGTTTCAAACGACCTTACTCTCGACGAGAGCAAAGTTAAGATGTCAAATTATCCTTTTGTGGTAACAAACTTTCGAGATCGTCCGAAAATCATTACAAATTTTAACAGAAGATAATTAATTGCATTTTCCGTATTCGTTTGGTTTGTGTGTTTCTTTGAACAAAAGAATTTCGTGTGTTGAAAGTGCACCCCAAACTTTAGGTACCGTGTATCAACTCGGTTTAGATAGTCCTTTGACAGTCGGAAAGAGCAGACGTTATAAGAAGGTTCCGTTGTCAGCTTCGGAACCCCAAAATGTCTTTAGAAACATACTATTCGAATGCAAATTGTTCTTGAATTATTCTCACATTTTGTCATCATTTATTTTGTATCTTGAATTTTTTATAAGATATTTTTTTATAGCCGCAAGTGCCAGTTGAAAACAATATGAAAGAACATTGAAATATGTTAGTGCAATATTTGTCGCTAATATATTTTCCGTTGTGTGTAAAAAGCTCATGACAGTTCAACGTGCAAATAAAGACTTTAAACTAATAAAGACGTCAACAGTTAAACTTACAATTATAAATCATTGCGTTAATGATTTACGATTGCAAGTTTTGCTTTGACTCTTTGTTAGCGAAAAACAAATAAGACCGTATTGTGCAAAAATGATCCTACCTAAAAAGCCGTAGAAAAATAACATGTCTATGTCAAATCAAAGAATTAATTAAGGAATATTCCACACTTGGTTGTTGTAAACAAGGAAGCTAACTACAGTAGTTAGAGTAACACAATCCAAGCTTGAGATAAGACAATAATTAAATAAATCCACGCCAGAGATGACGATGTCAGGATTTGATGTTTTATAACATAGGTAATGTTAAGCAGACACCTATTATTCTGCTCATCAATTAGGTAATTTTTTTTTATTACACAACAAAAATTGTATGTCAATATGTCTTAAAACGACTATGTAGTTTAAAAATACTCAATCCAACAAAATTTTAATAGTAGTGTATAATAGTAATTCGGAGTCGAAATAGTGACGTGCTTGAAGAAGTTTGCATATACACAGCACTTACGCAACTTTGCACCAAGTGTTTAAAAATTTGCACCAAGTGTTCATACTCATACATACGACTATTGGCCAAATTTATATTAAATATTACAAACAAACGGGTAAAATTCATAACTTCCTTTGAAACATACTTATCATTTCTGCTCAATACGGTCTTTTAGTACTTGCTGCAATATAACAGGTTAAAAATATGTAAAACTGTCAAATTTCTCCAACTTACTTTGAAGCTTTATTTTGATTCATTTAATAACACACAGTCGATTGAGGGTATAGATAACTGGGCTTTGTAGTAACCTGATGTGTACTTAGTACTTTTATAAATTGTGATATTTGATGCTATAATATTATGCTTTTATGGATTTCTAATGAAACAGCTCGTATGCTAAGTATTTAAAGAATAGTGTTTAAAAAAAAGAGGTTTGGAATTTCCTTTAGAAATAAATTTTGAACTTCTTTAAATTTTGTAACACTATCTCTTATGGTAACTATTATGAGTTGTCGTAGAAAGCTAAAATGTTGAGATTAATGTCTTTGATGTTCTGCTTTTTGGTCTAAAGCCAAATATTATAAAGGATGTGTTACGTACGCTTGTACTTCTAATACCAATCTTAATAACAGAAGATACAACAATGGAGGCGAAAGATTTTCTTTGAATATCTTAAATAATACTTTAATATAGGTTACTTATTTCGCTATTGTATATAGGATTTTTATAATAATATTGTAAATATTGTGTTACTAGTTACAATTTAAAATGTCACATCTCACTATCATGACTTAAGAATATTGTAAGGACAAATTTGTTAGTATAAAGTAGCAGTTATATTGCGTTGGAAACTTATGTGCCCATAATTTTGTACATAATACATACACTTGTGTATAACGATTAGTTCGATATGAATTTGTATAGTTTTAATTGTATGAAGAATTCAATTTTCAGGGCCATCGTACCTAAATACATGCAAAATATTGTAATATTTGTTGTTTTTATTAAATAACTCCCGAAACAAACATAAGAAAGCCTATTTTAAGTCAATCCATAAGGATTATGATCTATTTATCTGTCTGACTAACGATATTTTAATATCGTCGACCTCACTATCCAAATAACGTAATAATCGATTTATTTTCCACATGGATGAAGGTTTATCTTGTTTATCATCATTATCAGCCTACTAATGTCCCCTCCTGCTGGGTCACAGGTCTTCTCTGTGGATGGAATAGGGAGATTGGGTTATACCCATCACGCGGGCACAGTGCGGATTGGTGGACGCTAACGACTGCAGATGCAGCCGGGATCGATGGCTTATCGAGTTTTTCGAAAGAGGAGCTCGAGATAGTAAACTTTTAGTCACCCATCCAATGACCGACCACGGCGAAAATTGATTAACTACAACTATCGCAGCCGAAAGCGCTAAACACTTGCGCCATCGAACTCCTCTCCTATCTGGTTGGTGGTGGTCTCGGAGTCTGTACTGTAAAAGTGGGTTATTTTCACCATGAGAGACATTATTACCACAAACCGGGAATAAATTTAAAGTTCCGAACGATCGTTCAATAAATCATGAATTAACTTCAACGAAATTCATTCGCAAATAAGAAAGAATGAAAAGTTTGAAGAGGTTCTTACCCTCATGCGGTTGTAACAGGGTGGGGTGGGGAGTTTAATCTTTTTCCACGAATTGGGACAAAATTACCTCCTTCACTGTAAACGACCATTTACTCATTAGAAATCAATGGGTTTTGTAAACTGGCGGTATCAGTTGGACTA